GGGAACTTGGGTTACGAAAACAGCAGCAAATCGCAGCACAGCCAGCCAAGCGCACGCTGCTTTGCTAGCATGTACACAGCGGGAATGTTGTCACCACTGTGAAATTCTTATTTTGTCACTAGAGGGTGCTAAAAAGCTACGAAGTATTTGGTGTTGCACTTGTTTTATCTTCCCATCTCTTAACTGGTGTTATTTTTTACCTTCGTGGATGTTCTCCTTTTCCCAGCAGCAGAGTTTATGATGTCCAGTGCTGTGTGCATACTGAATATATGTGCACTTATCTGAAATTAATATGTTTCTTTCTAAAAATCAGTTATTTATTTGCAGTAGTGCCTGCTTCTACACACTCGCTGCCTACTCTGTTCATCCTTTCACTGGTTGGTGGCAGATGGAGTCTCTTAAAAATTGACATCTTCAGGAAATAGTGGGTGCTTTACAGGTGCTTCGAATTTTATTTTGCTGGGGTTTTTTGAGAGTAGGGACAACTCTCTCTGAGACTATGTTGATGAACAAAGTGAAAACCAAGGTGGGGCACAGCCTTGGAAAGAGCCTTTAAGAGTAAGGATCTCCATAGAAAAGATGGCTTATATGTGTTGGCTTTTGAGGTGTGATCCAGTTAGATTACGCCTTGTTTTCCATGGCTTGGCAATAAGGTGTTATTGACAAAGCATTTTATATAAATCCAGCTCTTCTATATAATCCCTTTTCCCCTCAGGAATGCTGGATTTCATTATCAGGTATTGCAAGCTGTAATTTATACCTGATTTTGTTAGTAACCTATTCTGATTTATTAAAATGCAAAGTCTAATTATTTCTAAAACTTCATTTAAAGTAAACTGTGCTCTTCTTAACTGTTTTCACTCATCGCTTTGGTGTCCAGATTCAAGTTACCATGAAAGGAGAACTCCTTTTAAACTGCATCTCTGGTGAGACAACAGTTAAAAACAAAGGATGAAAATCTGCCTTTTTTTTTTTTTTTTCAAATAATCATGCTCTCTGTTTACTTCTCTTCTGTGATAATACCAATTTCCATAGAAATCTTTTAAATCTCATTTTGACAAATATTAGTATTAAGGTGTTCTAACTTCCTTCACAGTGATAATCTGTGAAGCATAGAATTTGTCAACCAAGTAAACAATTGCTGTCAAAGCTTGTTTGTTTCTCAAAATGCCTAAAATCCTTTGAATTCTGTAGAAATATTAAATAATATGAATGTTTTGAAAAACTGATAGTGGGAGTGCTCCTGACTCTTCTCACACCCTCCACAATTTGAATCTCTTGGGTCCTTTCTAGTGTTTACTTTAGCTGACCAGGAAATCTTAGTTTTGAAATCCATTTTGGTGGAATAGTTCTGGATCTGTTTAAAACCGTTGTTAACGCTAGGTCTTCTGTCTGTGTGAACTACCAGCGGATGGGTTTCATGGAAGTATTTCAGTATTCCAAATTCAGCATTACGGCGCTCTTGATTTTCAGTTTTCAAGCACTTCCTTAAAAGGTAAATTGAAATAATTAAAAACAAACCTCAAACCATGGAGCAGCTGAATGTACGTGTGCAGCTGCAGCAAAGCTGTTTTAACATCCAGTTATTTTATGCTTCTCTGAGAACAGACTTAATGATTGTGGTTTGTTTTCTTGACGGTTTTATTTCACCAAGTATTTCTCTATAACTGAATATTTTACTTTGCCAATGGTCAAGATAGATCTTGGCTCTGTCCTGTCTTTTAGATACGTCAGACTTTCCAATAAAACATTAGAAAATTAATCTTGATAGTAACCTTTTCACTTAAATGTTAAGAGTCTGACTAAAACCAGGGTATCAAATCAGTGATTAGTAAAGAATTTCAGTAAAGGAGGCAAAAGCAGATGGAACAGTGTGTTTCTTCGTTAAATGTTTGAGACCTGGTAGCAATACTTAACCCTTACCGAGAACTCGCGGTAATATTGCCTCCCTTGTGGGCAAGATGGCAACAAATCTGCATGTAGACACTCCAGTTGTGGTTACTGTGTGCTCTTATTTTTATGAAGTTGCAATTGGTTACTTGAATTGCTGTATCAAGCAGAGTTAGTAATTTGTGTAGGATTAAATAACTGCAGTGGATCTCTGCATTACTGAATTTTGTTCCCTGCTGCTAAAGGCAGTGCTGTTGTAGTTTGTTATTGAAGAATTAGCATTTAAGTAAGGTTATGTGATTTTTATTTTATTTTTTTTTTATTCAGTGAAATGTATTTCAGATTTTCTTTCAGCTACTCAACATCTATAAAGACAAAATAGGATAACTTATTTTAATACAATGGAGTAATTTCAGGAATTTCAGCACTTTCTTTAAAAGTAACCTTGCTCTGCACCAAGAGTAGGGACTATACTAAAAAAAAAGTAACCATAGCAACAAGAATGTTTTTCTTTCCTTTGTGGTCAGAAATAAATATGCCAAGGGACTGTTATTCTTACAGGAAGATAAGGGATAATTGTTTAGTTGAGGTTAATACAGTTTGTCTGCTTTTTATTTTTCCCCAGCTGTGATGCCACATGGTGAGGTCAGTCGTGCAGCGAGGGCTCGCTGTGAGAGCCAATTCACTGAGCGGCGTCTCCATCTGCTTCCTTGGGGTGTGGGGCTCCCTCTGCCAGTCCAGCCTGACTCCCCTCACCGCAGTCCTCCTGGTCTGTTGCCTTTAACGTGGTGGTGACAACGCCGTTGACGTCTCGTTCATCTCTGCAGACAGTTGGTGCCTTTGAAAAGCTCGGCGCTGCTGTCCGTAGCGATGGAATAGTCCGAGGCGTGTTTTTGTGCTCAGATGGCTTAGGAAAAGAGTTGCGTACCTCTGAATGGAAAGGAAGGCAAAGAGGCATTATTTTAGAAAGGGTGGAGTGAATACAGACGTATTATTTTTCCCTAGGCTTTTCTTCTGTTGTGAGTTTCTTGTATCCATAGTGTTTTAGCTTAATAAGCCTTTGTTCCACCACACAAAAGAGCGATGTAGGCTTCGGAGCAACCGGACCTGCTTGTTTTGTGAACAGCTGGGCTTGAGCCTGCCTCAGAGGTGTGAAGCTCACGCAGCACAAGGGTTATGTCTGGTCTGTTTGGCTTGATACAAGCCATGCTCCATTGCCTGGAGCGTCCCGGCTTTCAGCAGAGGAGTGGGCAGAGGAAGATTTATGTGGAAAACTCTGAAACATAATGAAAGCCTCTTTTGGCTGGAGAAGAGGGATTCTGCGTGCCTGGCCAAGATGTATAACTTGGCGTAAGTGTACACCACTGTGAGTTTTGTCTAATATTTCTTCCATGTCATGGCTCTAAGACACAAAACTAAGTAAATTACCTTTTTTTCATCTTGAATATCTTTAGTGTTTTAGTATTAGGTTTTAGCGAAGCTAAATAATATGAATAATCTTAAAGACTAATCTTCAGAATTAGCCCGCTTCCTAAAATTTGGGGCAAACGTGTTGAAATGTCATCCATCCTAGAACAGCTTCGAACGACTGAATTCCATAAACAAATTATTGTGCGTGCTGAGTCTTCTTTGTAAGTGACTAAAACTGAGTGCCTTACTCAGCAGATCTGTTCCCTGTTTGTTTTCAGACTCTAATCTGTTGATCTTCCGTGACAAAGATAAGCTTATGCAGTTTGTTACTGCTTCTAGTTGTTGTGCCTCTGTGGATCTAAACCACAGCAGAGTGTTCTGCTGGTGAACTGAGCAGCAAAGGGTTGCACAAAGCGCTCTGCAGCATCTCATGAATATGGAAAATCAGCATTTGAAAATAAGATTCATGGAGATTTTCTGTAACTGTTGTCACTATAAAAGAGCGATTGACAGCTTCCGTTAGCATTGTGTTCGTAATTGTTTTCAATAACTTAATGGTGCAAAAGTAAAATGTAATAATTGGAAATTCCCAAGATTGCCCCTATCGCTTCTTTTCATTGCAGTGCAATTTTTGCTCCCCCCTGGAATTGCAGTTGAGTCAGCGTAGTTTTTTGCTAGCGGTTTTAGACAATATTCAGCTGAGCTTGCAAGGTCAAGTTGTTGTTATGTGTCCCAGCATCCAGGGTGGTGATGTGCTCAGTTGAGCCTGGGATGTGGTGGTTCTCCTGTGTGAGCAGAAGAGTTGTCTTCACTCCTTGGTTTATCCTCTAGATCTCTGCTGAGATGTGAGCTCAGGTGCCTACAAGCGGATATCCAGATGTAGGTGACTTAATTTGGAGCTAGATCCTACTCTTGCACTACACTGTTTGTAGTGTATTGCTTCTTAAAAGTGTTATTTCAATTTTGTGGGGTTTTTTTTCCTATTGCCGCTTTTTATCACTTCAGTCTGATAATGCTTTTTTCATTATCAGAAAGCAAACTATGTCAGGCTAATTGAGGCTGAAGGATATTGCAGGGTTATGTAAAGCAGATAAAAGCTAGGATGATGCCCAACAAGCCTTTTTAAAATCTTTGAGTAAAAGTTAAACGTGTAATAGGAACACTAGTGTGCTGTATGCATATATTTTATGATTCTTAGTATCATCTTTATCTTCCGCTGGTGATTCTGAATGTTTGGAGCTCAGATGACTATTTGAGCACGGTATGCATGGTGGAGAATGCTGAAACCATCCGCTTCACAGGAACTGTTGAGATTAAATCCGAAATGGGGAAGGGAGGGAAGAGCAACTGTAATTCTCGCACAAGATGAGGACTGCCTCCCCGTGACTTTTGACCATCCGAGAAATGTGTGTGTGGCACAGGAGGTTCTGCATAAACATAAGGAAAAACTTTTTCACTGTGAGGGTGACAGAGCCCTGGCACAGGCTGCCCAGAGAGGGTGTGGAGTCTCCGTCTCTGGAGACTTTCAAAACCCACCTGGACGTGTTCCTGTGTGGCTGCCCTAGGGGATCCTGCTCTGGCAGGGGGTTGGACTAGATGATCCCTAGAGATCCCTTCCAACCCCGAACACTCGGTGATTCTGTGATGTGTCAGGGGTGTGTGGATGCCTTTTCATGCATTGTAAAGCACCAGCATAAGGCAGTTCTGTGTGCCCTGGATACAGTGGTGCATGAGGCACAGATTCAGAAACTTTAGATCATGACCTAGGTTAATGTCTTAGAAATTTGAGGGCAAGAGTGTGCCATGCTCTGCACATCACGTTAAGAAGAGTTCAGTTCCCCTGGAGTTCAGCTCTAAAATGCAAAAGTGCTGCGTCTGTTTGCGGGACTTGGGAGCAGTTTTCTCTGCAGAAGCATTTTTTTAACTGGGTTTGTTTAGTCTGGAGAAGAGGAGGCTGAGAGGAGACCTTATTGCCCTCTACAACTACCTAAAAGGAGGCTGTAGTGAGGCTGGTGCTGGTCTCTTCTCTCTAATTACTAATGACAGGACAAGGGGAAATGGCCTCAAGTTGCGTCAGGGTAAGTTTAGATTGGATATTCGGAGGAAGTTCTTTGCTGAACGAGTGGTGAGGCACTGGAACAGGCTGCCCAGGGAGGTGGTGGAGTCACCAACCCTGGAGGTGTTTAAAAAAAAAGTTGATCTAGCACTTGAGGCTATGGTGTAGTGGTTAGGTATGCTGGGATGAAGGTTGGACTAGATGATCTTCAGAGGTCCCTTCCAACCCCTGACATTCTGTGATTCTGTGATTCATAAGGGCAGTGTTAATTACATACAATGCTCTTGTTAGTGCTGCCTTCTCATGAGCATAGTCCAGTAGGAATTTTTGGGTTGTAGCATTCTGATTTTAAGATTTATCCCAGATGTCTTGGGGTTTTTGTTGGTTTGGTTTTTTTTTTAAAGTCTCACTTTTAATGAAGTGTCAGAGATTAAATTTCATGATGCAGAGCCCACCTTATTTTGGACAGAGAAAACTGCACAGGCTCGCATCCTGTGGTAAATTTGCCTGATGCATCCTGTTGTAAATTTGCCTGATGGTCTTAAACAGAATCTGGTCACCTCTTGGGAGGTACCTGAAAATCAACACTCAGTTTTTTCACTTGTACCAGTTGCCTGCATTTTGCTTGGTTTCAAATTAGTGCTTTTGCAGTCCTGCTTGACTTCTGGTGGGAACGTGTGACCCAGATTGCAGGAAATCAGATTTTGCTGCAGTTGGCTCCTCTGTATTAGAAGGAAGAAGATGGTTAATCAGAGGTTGGCATCCTGTGCACAAGAAACCACCTACATGTCTTGTCTGTAGAAAAAGAAAGAAAGAGAGAGAGAGAAAGAAAGGAAGGAAGAAAGAAAGAAATGCATGTTTGAATCTGTATTTCTAGTATGGGGGGAATTGCTGTTCGATATCAAATAGTTTTGCTCTCCTTATTTGCTGGAGTGGTGATAACAAGTGAAGTTGGAATGCAGATGTTGGATTTAGAGCTGTGTTTGAAAATGCAAAGCTTCAGTTTATTTGGGTTAGTATCTTTTAACTGCTGCAGTTTGTGTTAAAGCTCCGTGGATACAGCAGCAAAGGCAAGTTTTGCCTACGCACATGCTTTATTAAGGGCATTGCAGGGCTTGTCCTGAAGCTGTGCCGTACTTTTAAGCAGTGTGCCTTTTGAGGCAGCTTTTCCCATCCCACTGGCAATTAATTGTGGCTCGTTCTAAGTTTTATTCATGGGAAGCAGTATGTGGTAGGTGTGTTTTTTCATAACTAAAACTTGCGTAGATTTCGTAAGGTAAAATCTTCACCAGTGATCCTGCATCATCTGGTGTTCTCATATGTATGTTAAGTTGTATTGTTATTAAGAGGGTTGGAGTATTTTATAGGAATATTCCACATACCTGATCAGTCCAGTTGAAAAACATTTTAAATCGTGGATACTTTTAGTGATATATCACTTAGTAATGATTAAATATTTGAAGCTAGAGAGCTCTGGCTAGCGTTAGTGTTCAAGTTTAGCACTTAAACTTGTAAATGCTATCATTAAAAAAAAAAAATTTTCCTCTTCTGAGATCCCATAGCAGTCCTCAGCCATGAATTTTCTGCACCTTGGTAGAAAAACCCTTGTGATCTCTTTGTTTTTAGTTTATATCATTTTTGAAAGCCATGGTTTGATTCTCCTCCAGCGTTGGTGAGATTTGTGCATTTTTTTGACTGGAATCTCTTTAGACTATCCTTCAGGGTACAGGGAAGAGGAGACCTAGACAGTCATCCAAAATAGAGAGTATTTTTTTTCCCCTTCTGGTACTTTAATCGAAGAGCGATCCTTGTAAAACATTTGAAAGGCCGTTGATAAATATGTTGGTGTACAACGAATTTTACGTATTTGTTTTGAAGTCTGTGAGCAGTTATGTCACTAAATACATTAATACAACATGGAAGCATGGGCAGTGAAGCCTGCTACTAGTGCAGTTCTTCTTTTGACAGTACAAGGAGGAGAAAAATTTTCTGATTCTTAATAGTAGAGCTCTTAAATAGTCTTAAGACATCCACTGCTCAGTTTCACTCTAAGTTTCTCATATTCTTTTTAATTGGTCTCTAGGGAAGTTGTAGTTGTAAAACCCAAGCGAATCGCAGAAGATGATAGAGAAGTTTCAACATGCTTTAAGGTGTCTTCCACCTTATGAATATTGTATAATGTGCTCTCTTTTCTCATGAGGATAAGGAAAATATTTAAATCTGTATAGAATTTTTAATATAAAAAATATGTAAATGGTAAAGCTAGAATTTAACTGAGGATTTGATAGAATATCAGAGGTGGGTAGAGCAGGTATGAGTGTTGCCAGATCGACAGTTTGTGAGCAGTGTTAAGCTCTTTAGACTATCTCTGCTTCTATCCTTACTCTAGTTATACACAAGTGTCAAACTAAAAAGTCTGAGGCAGGGATTAAAGCTCTGTTTGCGTGAGTATTTGCAGCTGAATAATGTTGATCTCTGCCAATTAGGTAAGAAAAATGGCCCAGAAAAGTAATGTATCCATTTCTGTTTTTCAGGAACAAGAGCAAAAGGCTGAAGAAGAAAGAATTCGAATGGAGAATATTTTGAGTGGTAACCCACTGCTACTGAACCTTACCGGCCCAGCACAGCCTCAAACAAACTTCAAAGTGAAGAGGAGGTAACCCTGTACTCTGATGTCTATCCCCTTGCTCCCTCTTTTTCACAGAATCACAATGTTTGGGTTGGAATGGACCTCTAGAGATCATCTAG